CAGCAACAGCAACAGCAACAGCAACAACAATAGCAACAGCTGCTGCAGTTGCATCTGCTTGACTTTAATTTTTTAGCCAAGGCTGAAAGTGCAGAGCTGCAGCTAGCAGCCAAAGGACACTGCGTCCTCTTTTTCGTGGGCGTAGCATTGTTTTTTATTCTTCTATATATATATTTTTTTTTAAATCGAAATCCAAATGGCAGCCCTTGGGGCAATTTCTGGTTGCTGCCGCATTGTAATTTCTTTAAAAGCAATTCATTTCATAATGGGGAAAAGAAAAGAAATGGAGAGAAAGGCGAAAAGACATGAGGGAAATTGCGAGCTCTGACAGAAAGAAAAGCAGCCAAACGAAAATGGCAAAAATAATGCAGGAAAATGGAATGAAATGAGCGAAGCTAAATAAAAATGGAGCGGAGGTTGGGGCTAAGAATAGGTTGGGCTCTGCTCGCTACAATTCCTGCTAAGCTTGTGGCCAACACACATACCACACCACTAGACCAGGCCAGACCCGACCCGACCAGCCCGTACCATGCCTTACCGCACCGTACCGGCTATGCAGTTATCGTTTGTTCGCTAGGATTGTACGCCACTTTCAGCAGCGACGTTTTATGGTCTATCCCACCTCCAACACCCCTCCCACCCCTTGAGGAATACTTCCCCAAACAACAAACTCAGCAGACAAAAGCTCTGTTTCTTTCAGCCCGTTTCACTTCTTTCTTATTTTGTATACCCTGAATCGTGGAAAATGAGGTACAACATTCTTTTTAAAGGGTATGTAAAGGGGGAGGATGAAGGAGGCGTGGCCGACAATATAAAGTATTTCTTTCTGTTCTTTCAATCGAAAGCAAACGATCTCTTTGAATATCGATAAATATCGCAAATAAACACATAACATGATATATGAATTGGAATACCTCACCCGTCTTCTATTTCTACATCTGATATATCCAATTGCAGTGTAGGGCTTTAGCCCTTGCTATATAATTTCACATGCAATCAAAGAGACATCTGTAATTCAGAGCCGAACTCGGGATATTTTCTAGGCGAGCATACCCCACTGGAGTACTCTTACTTGATTCGTTCGAAGCACGATTGTTTCATTGTTTTGTTTTTGGGAATGTTGCTTATGGAATTTATTTTATTACATGCCCTCCTCGCAGAGCGTCTCTTGAGGTTTTTTTTCTGCTGCTGCTGTTTGTATGTGGCTTTGCAGTCCCGTTGCCTTCTTATAGATAATAAGAAAATTATACATTTTATTCGACGGCCGCGTTGCAGGCGAATGCCGCAATGCCCTCAATTAGGAGTAGTCCTTAATTTGCTGCTAAGTTATTTGGTATTGTAGCCCTTACGTTTTCGCTCTTCGCCTTTCGCCTTAGTATAATTTGCAGCCTTGACTCGAATCTCGAAATTCGGCATTCGAAATTGGGAAAGGCTCGAATTCAAATTGCATTCCAATGCGTCTAACGGTTTTATCATCGTCTCTGATCATACTTATACCATATCAACTCATCTATATAATCACCCACTCCTTCAGCGATTTGTCGTTTATCCTCAGTTTCGTCTCTCTTTAGTCGTCATTTTCGGCTGTTTCGTTTTTCGTGTTTGCTTCGTTTTTTTCGTACCGCCAGACACCAATAATTTTCTAAATTCTGCTTTTTTGCGTTGCGCCTACTTCGTAATCGCCCCAAAGTTCTGAGCTCGCATTTAATTAAATTAATTAACGTTTATTTGCCATTTGCGGGACTTTATGGATTTGTATTGTGAATTTAATATGCCAATGATTCACAGTGGGCTTTTCAGAGTATTCTCTACACTGTATGCTTATGAAACCAAGCCTCAACGAATTACTCGAAACGACGGGCACAGGGAACTGGAATATTTGACTAATTGGCAGAGTAAAAAGTAATTGCAGAGAGCTGAAAAGAAGAAACCATGGAAGTCCTTCGAATTAGTAGATAAATAAATAAATATTAATAAATATTAATATTAATAATTTGCTATCACTTAAAACATAATTAAATTGTCATTAATACTTGAAATTTAGTTATGAAAGATCTTGCTGAAACATGAAGAATATGATGTAGATCTTGGGATCATATGTTTAAAGACTGTAAACTTTTTACTTGTTGTCATTAGTAACTAAGAGTACAATAGGTCATGAAGTCATGCCTGAAAGATCTTGCTGTAATGAATATGAAATTTATTTGGATTTTACTTTTCAAATTTTCAGCAATGAAAAAGATGAATCTCCAGAAGTAAATTGAGCTAAATAAATATGACTAGCAAAAGTTTTTTTGACTCACATATTTAGTTATTACGAATAAAAAATTCATTTGAAATTATTTGTGTGTCGTAATATCTATTCTTTCTATTGTCTGTTGTACTCATTTAAGTCAAGTAATATTTAGAAATAGTCTATCATAAAATCCAACTCCAACTCCTCGACTTGACTTCACAGAAAATCGTATCTAATTCGCTTGACATTTGTATTATTTGCGGTATTTTATCGAGACTTCATGATTGTAGTGAATATGAATGAATGATTCACTTGACTCATTGCCGTGTGTTATCTTTGGCGACAGCGCTGCATACCAAACAAAGCGCACAACACACGCAAAACAACGCCTCGCTCTGGCAACCGGATCAGGTGCATTCTGCTGGGGATTGGAGGTCCTTTAGCAATTTGAAGTACATGTCGTCCCGGCGTTGACACCGAACGGACATGCCGCTGACAATTACGTGGAAAGCAGCTCAAAAAAAGTGCCAAACTGCAGCCGAGGCAAAAAATGTCGAGCAATTAACTTAAATACATTTCAACTTTTTACGTGCAATCGCCCCACATAGTCCTGCTCCCGGCTCCTGTTTGCCACTTGGCCGCGTGCTCAGCTCAAGTGAGTCTACTCAGCGCGAGTGTGTATCGAAGCAAAGAGTTCAACAAAATTCGAGCCACAGCGCGAAACAATAAAAATGTTCAATGTACTTACAATACACAGAAAAAATAAAAACAAAGACAAAATGAAAATAAAAACGACAATTTTTAAAAGAGTCTAACCATGAGCAGTGGGAAGGGCAGGGAAGCGGGCGAAGGCTATGTGGGTTGACGTTGGCCCTGAAAGGGGTCGCTCATAAATTACAACAGTAATTATATTTAATAACCGCAATTAACTTTGTAATAATGTCAATGAAAATGATGAGACAAAATATGATTAAAAACCAAACACAAACAGAAACAGAAACACAAAAGCAACAACAACAACAATGAACAAGAGCCAAAGCAACAGAAGAAATAAGTATAGAATGCTTGCCAGCTATGTAAATCCTCATCAAAGTGGCAAATCCTCGACTTTGGACGCTTACGGCCAAGATAATGCGGGCTTAAGCGAGCTGGATGCTCGACGAGTGGACGGGAATCGCCAGCCATCATAAAAGAGTCGGGCACTCTATGCATTTATTGGCTTTATGGCTGGAGCTGGTTCCTGGCCGGTATCATATCACATACGGCATTTAGATTTACAATGGCTCTGGCCGGGATTCCTTTATGCTTTATGGCATTTAATTGGACATTCAGATTTGCTGTGCTCCAATTTGTGGTGGGGATTTATGATTTGATTCGCGGAAAGAGGCCAACAGATTGTTGTTATTCAGGCCCAATTTCGGGGGCTGTTTATGTAATTAACAGATCAAGTGGCCGTTCCTAATCGAGTGGCTATGCCCGCGTCCTGTGAGGGTGGTTTACCTACGACCACTACCTAATACCCATTATCCATTATTCTGGGGTAACTGATAACTGCAATTAATGTTTTTGACCTTTTCGTCCGTTCGCTGTTCTTTTTCCAATTCCAAGTTCACGCCGTCAGCTGCGTTTTGAAGGTTGACTCAACGTTTACATGCATGAAATTTGTTTTCATTTTCCACTCACTTTCTCCACTATCTCTCTCTCTCTCTCTTTCTATCTTTCTCTGCAGCCTGAAGCCCCCGCCCAAGGATGGCGTCACTAAGAGCAATCCATCAAAACGGCATCGAGAGCGCCTCAATGCCGAGCTGGATCTGCTTGCCTCGCTGCTGCCCTTCGAGCAGAACATACTTAGCAAACTGGATCGACTGAGCATACTAAGGCTGTCCGTTAGTTATTTAAGAACCAAAAGTTACTTTCAAGGTAAGTACGGCTATCATTTTTGAGCAACTAGCATTAAGAGGGTGGTTCGAGGCTAAAGCTGGCAGCTCCCATTCGTAACCTCTATCTCAGGCCACATCCCATATGGCTGACTGGCCCACGTCTTCTTCTTCTGCTGCCTCTTCTTCTTCTTCAGCCATACGGTGCGATACATTTTGGCCTATTAAATCGATTATGCTAGCACTGCCACTGAATGGTGGCAGACCCTAAACATGACTCATAAATGATTCAAAACTAATTTCAACGCCGCAGTGGGGCGTCCTTTCCTCTCTCTCTCACACACACGCTCTCACGTTGTCTATGTTTCCCTAGTCTTGATCCCTGCGCAGGGATACCCACACACACACACACACTTACTTGGGAACATAAACACACGCACATGGCGAAATTAGTTCTGTTGACGGATTAAACTCGAACTAGGAAAGGAAAAACAAAAATAGAAAGACACATTTTAGTTTCTGTTTTAGCTTTCGTTTGTTTTGCTTTCACCGAATTAATTTTCAGATATCCAGAAACTAGTGGTATTAGATGTAGATACTATAGATAATATATAGGATATTGAATTTTACATTAATATAATATAATAGATATTAACAGTTTCTTTATACCTGTTATTATTTAGATTAAGATTGTATAAAATAAAAGCGGAATTGGGATATTTTGTATATTCCGATAGAATATTTAGGACATTGCATTTCACATTTGTTCCACTTTGTAAAATACGATTGTCATTACAGAATTACATTATATATGTCGTATTATTTAAATTAGGTTAGTCTTGAAAAAAATCAAAGTCCGTCCTATCTTCATTTTGTTTTTACCCATAAGTTTTCCGACTTTATTTTGGCCCACCTGGTAAACGAATTAAAGGTGAGCCTCGAGCGAATAGGAAATGGAGAAATGGTAAAGTTTTCTGGGGCCTGGTAAATCGAATCAGACGAATGAGCAAACATATCAGCACACTCATACACCCAAACATTGCCGTAAATGGAGGGGTTGTTTTTTGTTTCCTTTCGAAATTTTAGCCTAAATTTTTTTTTTGTTTTTTTTTTTTTTTTGTACTTTTGTTCGTTTCTAATTTAAATTAATTAAAACAATGCAATAAAAGGAGAACGAACTTGGACGCTTTGATGGCTTAATTATTGACTTAGTTCATTGGCATTTCGCAGTGCTTAACGACATAAATTTAATTGCCCTTTGTGGGGCTATATATGTATATCTATATAGTATATCAGGCAGATGAAGAGCCCGCTCTGAGCATTAATTAAATGTGAGTGCAAAATTTGTTGGGAAATTCGAACGAGAAACTAAGGACATGCTCGCAGACCCCTTGCGCGACATTTGTGACTCACGTGTCACGTCCAGCTCTCTGGGCTGGGCTCATCCTGTGCCCGTGGCTGTGGCTGTGGCTGTGGCTGGACACGGGCGAGCACTGAAAATAGTCGAGTAAATATTTTGACAATTAGCGGTCAAAACGCAGTTGGGCGTTAATTGCAATCGCAAACAGTTGCGACGGCCAGTTCAAGTCCGCCAGCCAGGACACGTGCCCGGTTGCAGTGGGCTAAGTCAATACATGATCCTAAGTTTCCTTTCATTAGAGGCCAACGACCACTTGGTTTAAAAACAGACACGCGCTGCGTTTCCTTTGCGACGACGACGACGACGGGTTAATGGACCAGAACCGTTGCGCCGTGTGCTCCCGTGAGTGCCCAGTGTCCTGTCTATACACATTCACATATACATGTCTCTGTACATCTAATGTTTGTCCGGAGGTTTGACAAAACGTCGCGGCACAGGTCAAAGTTTGTTTACGTTTCGGCTTTATTTGTTTGCCTAGATGTTTTTCGGATATTATCAGGATCATTTAATTTACAATTACTGCAGAGTCCAACCCCATCCAGGAGCGTGTGTGCGTGGGTGCGTGGGTGTGTGTGTGTGTGTGTGTGTGTGAGGTGAGCCTCGGCTTGTGGGATTTCGAAAACTTGAGCACTCAATGCAATTAATTGAAGCAGCCGAAAAAGGTTTAGATATACATATAACTATTTATATATAGCAACTAAGATGCAGAAAGAGAGCGACAGAGTGAGAGAGATATATGTATATATACATATATAGAGAGAGCGAGAGTGAGTGATGGAGAGGGCGAGAATTTCCTATATAAAGCTCTGTTCTATGCTTATGTGCCAGTACATATTTATGTGTATGTATGTGTGTATCTGTGTGTGTGTGTGTGTATACATTTAATGGCCCACTGGAGGGTTGCTCGCCAGACACCAAACGTCCTGCATCTATATAGGGGCAGTTGTTGACCCTGACTTGCGCAAAAGCGAAACGGCGAACAAGTTTTCTCTATACCAGAGGGAAAAAATGGAAAAGGAGAGAAAAAATGAATGAAAAGCAAAGTTCGTTTTCGTTTTCGCCAGGCTTGCGAAGCAGCTTTCCTATACACCTAAAGACTTGACGGCACCAACAACAACAGCAACAACAACACAAGCAACAACGACAGCAAAAAAGAAGCTAAATAATTAAAGCGCGCTGCTAATGGCCCATTGTCTTGGCCTGGCCCGAAGCCCCCGTCTGGTCCACCCACGCCATAAATGCTGGCCAAGCGTTGGCGCCTTATGGCCAGTAATAATTGTTAAGACGCGCAATTTGTACATTTTTAATGTACTCGTTACGTCTCTCTGGTCCTTTGCCATGGCCAGCTACCGCCCCCGCCCACCCGCCTTGCCTAATTGATGAGTTGCGTAATTAACTGCAAAATGAACTAAAATGTTCTCATTGATAGTTTTGTTTAACCGTTCCAAATGCTGATTGCACGCAATCCAACCAACCAAAGCTCTCTCTATAGAAGACCCGCTCCCAACAAACACCCAGCAATTAGATTGCCCAATAAGCAAATTGAACGTTAACTCAGTCTTGAAGAGGACAATCGATATCATGACCCTAAAATTTATTTCGAATTGCAATATACTCAATTCAAATTAGAAAATTAAATATTCTGTCGAGAGTCGTATCAATCGAATATGTATACGTATTACGTATATAAATCGAATGAAAACAAATTTTGAAAATCGAATATTAATATATGAATGGTAAAGACCTATATAGATGCTGCCAATCGTATATTCATATATGAATTGCATAAATTATTAGGCATATATGATTTAAATGCATTCGTTTCAGTGACATCATAGTTCAGAATTAAGAGAATATATACGTCAATTGCAAAGGCCTATATCGATCAGAGCTTTCTAATGACACTGGATTCAGTTGGATAATCGAATATTCATATATGATTCGGATTAATAACTAATCAGATATGCTTTAAGATCTTAATATATATGTATAGAGTGATTACAAGGTCAATGGATAATCGACTATTCATATATGAATTACATTAATTACCAATCAAATATGCTTTTAATTCTTAAGATATTCATTCATTGCATCGCAGCGACATATATAGATCAGAGCTGAGCAAAGACAATGGAGATTTGAATGAGTGACAGACAGAGGCTGGCAATGAGTTGAGTCGCAGTTGACTTTAGACGCTTTTGGTAATTGGAGCCAGGCAGTGGGAAAGCGTGGATTGCCAACCAGAGTTCCCACACATGATTAAAATATGAAAAATATATAAAGTCTTGCATACATTACTCTCTTGGCTTAGACCCGTAAGACCGTAATAGATTCGCCAGCCAGTCTGGCTGGAAGGCTCATATGCGGAGACTGGTTATTGAGATCTAGTTCTCTCTGAGCTCAGATCTCGTGGGAAGCGAGTTGCAATAGCCGCTGTGTGGCAACCTGCGAATGCGTCACATGAGCTTGGGCACAGCTTTTAGCTGAGTTTCAATGTATTCCCCCAGCATTCAGCTCAGCTCAGTTTCTATTATGCTAACAAGGTCACCTGTCCAGGCAACGAAATTTATGCTTTCGATAGAGGGGGCTGGTACGGGTAGTTATGCTATTATCAAAATTGCCGTTAAGCGTTTGTTAATGGAGCTCATGGCCATGAGCTATGCGAATCGCATAGCCCAAGGGGCCAAGGCTCAGCTCTTAACCTATAAACATACTAAGCTCCGAGACTCGCCAATTTTTCCGTGCATATACATGACTTTCGTGCGTTGCCCCAGTTTAGGCCCATTAGCAGCCATGGAGGGGATGGATGATGGCTCCGCTAAAATCTATAGCCAGACAATGGCTCGCCCTGGCGCAGGCGGACATGCAATCAGTCAGGCAATGCACTTTAAATACGACTGTCCTACCTCGGGGAGGAAGGTTGATACCCACTATTGTTGTTGTTGTTGTTGTTGTTGTTGTTGTTCTCAATTGTCACGCCGCTCGGCCGAGTTCAGTTTTGGCAAAGAGTTGAGGTCTAAGGCAAGAGAATGCGGCAGACAACATTGCGTGACTTACGTAGGTCGAATTTCTATCACCTCTCTCTCTCTCTCTCTCTCTGTACTTCCCTCTCTCTTTCTTTCTGTATCTCTTTAT